GTCTGTCAGAGATCCAGAAAAGAAAATATGTCATTTTTAGCAGGTCAGCTGTGGAATAAAAAGAGCTGCTAAATGTATAACTTCATTTCTGGACATGTATGGTTTGATTTCTTTGTATGTATGGATCACTTGGGTTGTTACCGACATCTGGTGAAAATTTCATGTCATTAGCTCCTCTAGTAATATATTTACTGAGAAAAATGTTGACGTGTTCAATACTTATTTTACCCGCTGTATATATAAATTGACTTTGCTTCAAAGTCTATCTAAATGCTTTGAAATGGGTCTTTGTCTCTTTAAGAACCTTTTAGAGAAAGGTTAAAAAACTTTACTGACTACCACAAGCGTTTGAAATTTGTTTTTCTCATCTTAATTGTGATCTATTTTGTTTTCCTTCCCCAGACATCATCTCCCAACTCATCAAATGAGAACTCTCCAATTAGCCCACCAGATGAACAGGCTCAGGTGGATGGGCCCCATCAGCTGGAAGAGGAAGAGCCAGCTTTTCCTCACACTGACCTAGCCAAGCTTGATGACATGATCAACAGGTATTTACTTGTCTCCTGACACCAAAGCTGCATATGCAGTCAAACCTAATCAACTGCTCAGCATTAATATACAGATTTAATACAGATAGGTCCATATCTATTTGCACACTGACACAAAGTTTTTTTATAGTTATATAATGGACATGGACATAGTCCTGTCTTTCAGCTTTCATTTGAGGGTATCCAAATTAAAACTGGATGAAGGGTTTAGGAGTTCAACTCCTTAACATGTCATCCAATGACTTTTGAGCCCCAGAAATGAAAGGATTGGGATTAAAAAATTCAACCCGCTGATTTAAAGCACAGAGTCTCAACTTCAACTGCATCAGAAACGTTTTGTTCAAAACTCATTGTGGTTATGTACAGAACCAAAATTAGGAAAATATTGTTTCTGTTCAGATACAGACTGTATCAAAACTTACAGGCTGTCCATTTGTCACAGTTATTTTATTCCAAGCCCACCCCCTCCCTTTTTTTGTTGAGTTCAAACAGTGTAAACATTTTCTATATCCCTTTTATCATGCATATATTGTTCTTTTTGTTGATTCACTCTCTTTGATGCTTTAGGCCTCGATGGGTCGTTCCAGTTTTGCCAAAAGGAGAGTTAGAAGTCCTCTTGGAAGCTGCTATAGATCTGAGTAAAAAAGGTAGGAATGTACAGAACGTTCTTTTGATTCAGCGCTTTGTGGCGTTCACCTGCTGTTTGGGGATCTCTGTTTCAGATCGTCTCCGACAGGTTTTTAATCAGAGGAATTTGAGTTAGATGTTTAAAAAAGGCTAATATTTACTTTGCATTCAAAATAAAATAACATACTATTTTACTTTGGTTTTATCATTTAATCAAGTATTTTTTCCCCATACTGTCACAGGTCAAATTTAAAATTAAACACAAAAAAATTAGACATAAAAATTTTATAGTTATTTTCTTCTAAAATTAGCAAAAAAATAACTGCCTGGGATATTAACCCGTGATGAGCAAATGCAGTTATTTCATGCTGAAGCCAAGCTGTTGTTTGTTCATAAATACAGATGTATTTTGTTTATCAGTCTTTACGCTGAAATTATTTCCTTATCAAGTTTCTTATTAGCATGTACATAAAAACTATTAGACAGAACAGTTTTGTCTAAAATAAACACTGGCCTGTGAGAATTGTTTTAGGATATTTTGAATGATTTTATATTTGCACTAAGCTAACATACTATTTAGGTAAAACACTTTCCGTGCTGTTAGACAGAAACTCTTCTTTTTTTTTTTCTTGCAGGACTGGATGTGAAATGTGAGGCATGTCAGAGGTTTTTCCGGGATGGGTTAACCATTTCCTTCACAAAAATCTTGACAGATGAGGCGGTCAGTGGATGGAAGTTTGAAATACATGTAAGTTTTTTTTCCAGCAACTTTCTCTTTCATTAAGCTTTAAGTGAAGAAATCAACAATAATTAATAAGTCACAAACAAACATTTAAATAAGCCTGACTAGATTACATAAAATATAATCACAAACTGGTTTTAATGGTTTATATTACTCTAATTAGGGTTTGTTAAATGAAATCACACATTCTCCTTATTGCTGATGGAAATATGTCAGTAAAGCTTGATGATGCTTGATTTAAAAAAAATAAAAAGGTGGGGAGGATCTTGTAATCTTTACTAACATGTTGAAGTTGGCCTTGTTATAATCCTTCATACTGGTTTCTGTTTTCCAGAGGTGCATCATCAATAACACACACCGGCTGATCGAGCTGTGTGTGGCCAAGCTCTCTCAGGACTGGTTCCCACTACTGGAGCTGCTGGCCATGGCCACCAACCCCCACTGCAAGTTCCATATCTACAACGGCACACGGCCCTCTGAGACCGTACCTGCTGGAGCACAGCTAGCTGACGACGAGCTGTACGCTCGCCCACCAGACCCACGTTCTCCTAAGGTCATTTACCACCTCGCTTGTTGAACGCAGAAATGGAAACCACTTCTTTGCTTTTCAATTCACCTGTTTGTGTTTTTCTCTGGAGCAGTTAAAAAAAACTTGGGATTTTGCTCTTCCTCTGCAAACTTAACTTACTAAATTAAAAATTAAAAGCAAAGTTTATAATATGTTATTTATTGTCTTCACAGGGCTGGCTGGTTGATTTAATAAACAAATTTGGCACATTAAACGGGTTTCAAATTTTGCACGATCGCTTCATGAGTGGCCAAGCACTGAACGTCCAGATCATCGCTGCACTTATCAAGTGAGACAAATAAAATGATCCAGTCCTGGACTTTGTGTTATCAAACAGATTTTGATCACAGTAATCACGTTGCAGTGGTTTCACTCTGATTTATAACGCTGTCTCTCTTACAGACCTTTTGGCCAGTGTTATGAGTTCCTCACGTTGCACACAGTAAAGAAATACTTCCTTCCAGTCATCGAAATGGTTCCTCAGTTTCTAGAGAATCTTACAGATGAGGAGCTAAAGAAAGAGGCCAAGAATGAAGCCAAAAATGATGCACTGTCCATGATAATCAAGTCTTTAAAGAATCTGGCTTCCCGTGTACCAGGGCAGGAGGAGACGGTGAAGAATTTAGAGATTTTTAGGTTAAAAATGATTCTTAGGTGAGTGACGACGCGTTGTCTGAACACTTGTACACTTTTGTTAAAAATACTTTACGGTTGTGCTTGTTATGCATTTAAAAGTTTATCAAATAGTAACTAGGCTCTCAATTTCTTTACCTACCACCAGGTTATTGCAAATTTCCTCTTTTAAYGGCAAAATGAATGCACTAAATGAAGTTAATAAAGTGATCTCCAGTGTGTCGTACTACACTCATCGACATAACCCTGAAGAGGAGGAGTGGCTTACTGCAGAGCGCATGGCTGTAAGCATTAATGGTTCTTATTCAGTCAAAAGAGCTCCGCAGCTGCAAGTTAATTTTTTATTGTCTTGTGTATCATCCTATTACAGGAATGGATCCAGCAGAACCACATCCTTTCCATTGTTCTGAGGGACAGTTTGCATCAGCCGCAGTATGTGGAGAAACTTGAAAAAATCCTTCGATTTGTCATAAAAGAGAAGGCTCTTACCATGCAAGACTTGGACAACATCTGGGCTGCACAGGTGCTCGAACACTAACTAAATGTAATATTGTTTGGGCTGTTTTTAATGCCAAGTAATATGAGGGACTAAAAACAACAGAAATTCAGGGGATTTAAGCAGCAACTCACATGTTGAGTAATGGAATACTGTTGTTAATGATGTTGTGTGGAAGTAAGAACACAGGATTTCAGCTTTGCCAAATGGTGTAAACTTCTTTAAAGGGGCAATATCATGTAAAATCAACTTTTTTGAATTTTAATATCATGTTATAATGTTATACTCTCATAAAACATGCCCAAAGCCTTGCTCTGACTCAGTCATGCATGTTTGAGAAATCCTGCAGCGTTTTTATGAAGCCATGCTGAGGAGCAAAACGACAGGTGGGGACCAGAAACGCCTTTGGTACCAGAAACACATCTGGGATGTGTCTTTAAACCAGGCTTCTCACACACACACACAAAACCCACCCATGACTCCTGCAGGCTCTCGGGTGAAAGTGAAAGTGAAACTTAAACTGTCTGCAGAGCTCTCAACACTATTTCTCACTCAGTGAAGCTCCTTTCAGATTAAAAATACCTTTGAGGAAATGTATTTTCAGATGCCGAGTAAACTGCATTATAGCGACCCCCGCCCCGAAACGGGCGGGACACAAGCGGAAGGTGGTTCTTAAAGAGACAGAGGCCAATTTCAAGGTGTTTAGAAGAGGAAGTGATGAGAATATGTTTATTTTTTATTTAAACATAAAAACAGCATTTTAATAACAACTAAAGGTGACATAGATACTTTATTATGGTATAGTATTTAAATATATGCCTGAGAAACACATAATATTGCCCCTTTAAAACACTTCGAACACATTCAACATACTTGGAGAAACTAAAATAAGTGAGATACAGCCTGTTGCTGTTATTTTCTCTGGATAATGCCTTCATAGCATACTTTCTGGTGATAACCCAGTGTTTTGTTTTGGTTTGTTTTTTTTGTACACATGCAGGCTGGTAAGCATGAGGCCATTGTGAAGAACGTTCATGACCTTTTGGCCAAATTGGCGTGGGACTTCTCACCTGAGCAGCTTGATCATCTTTTTGACTGCTTCAAGGTAAGAGTTATTAGTCACAGATGAATTGTTTTCATTTGTAAAATTAGTCACAGACAGATTTTTTTCCCTCTTGGGTTAAATCAGTTTGCAGTCATMGTTCGTCTCTGAACATTCTCGTTTCCTTTCTGCTTTACAGGCAAGCTGGACCAACGCCAGCAAAAAGCAACGTGAAAAACTACTTGAACTTATTCGGCGCTTGGCTGAAGATGACAAGGATGGTGTGATGGCCCACAAGGTCCTGAACCTGCTGTGGAACCTGGCACACAGTGATGATGTTCCTGTAGACATCATGGACCAAGCCCTTAGTGCTCACATCAAGATACTGGACTATAGTTGCTCACAGGTGTGTGCTGTAGTCTCTTTATAAATGTGTGTATAGACATAAAGGCAGTAGATGATGGGCTTTTTGAACTCTAAATTAAAATATATATATATGTTTTTTCATCACAGGACAGAGATACACAGAAGATTCAGTGGATCGATCGCTTCATAGAGGAACTACGAACCAATGACAAATGGGTTATTCCTGCCTTGAAACAGATCAGGGAAATTTGTAGCCTGTTTGGAGAAGCTCCGCAGAACCTTCCGTAAGATTATAGTGGCACTACTAAAACACTTTAAAACTAAATTCAGCAAATTTGAGTTGTTTTCATTTTATTCCTTTTCATACACTATTTTTATTTTATTTTAACTTATGTGTGCAAGRTACCCTAACACTGTCGAGTAAAACATTGTTTTTATCATTTACATAAAGTTGTTGGACTCATCAGTCTTGCACTTATTGCTCAGAGTAATTTAAATTGTTTCAACTGCTAGATAAGACTGGATTGTTTAACAGCAGATCATTTTATTACTAACAAATAACGTTAAGCAAATACTACATTTTTGTCAAATTTCTCTCAATCAGTCAATTTTAATATTTGCCTGATGTTTTGGCATGATCTTGAAATTAATACCCCTTATGTGCGGTAGGAACTCTACTGAAATTTTAACGTATAGGGAAAACTATTTTGGTTTATTTTAATTTCTAAACGTTAAAGTTAACCCTTACAGGAAGTCCACATGAATACAATACAATGGAATCAAAGAGGGTCTTTTTTTCAGTTTTAAATGTTGAGCATAATTCCAGATTTCCTCTTTGTTTGAGTTTAGATTTTGTTTCATCAGTGAATGGGTTAAAAAAGTTAAAAACTAAACTTATTCAACTTGTTTTGAACTGAAGAACTTTCATAGTCACTGTAGAAAATATGTAGTATACATGCCTGTTGTTTTTCCAGAAAGAAAATTCCAATTAACATACACACGAACTTAGTGAGGTAAGTTAAGTGTTAATTTCAGGGTTCTACCTATTCCTTTGTTACGTCAAGTCTAACTTCCTCTTTGATATGTTTACAAACAACATAAAATATAAACCTTTGCCACAAATCAGCTTAAGCAGTTCTTTCTTGGGTTAAATCTCAAATGACTTTTCTCCTGCACATATGAGGTTTTTTCACATAAAATTGAGAATATTCACATAAAAATCCAAACCTAATATTTGATTATTTAGCTACAAATGTAAAAGGAAGTCTAGAGAAAAATACAGTATAGATTAAAGTGTGTGGCTATTACATGTAACATATATTTTATGTTGGACTTTAGGCAGGATGTCTTGAATCACAACTGGGCCTTTAGACATAGCTTGTGCTCTGTCACAATCATCTCTTATGGCAAAAGCAAGACAGATAATTATCAGGATAAAATACCCTTTAAAATATTATTTTTTAATTATATATACAAAATCCACCGTTAAACATTACGGTAAGGCAGTGGAAACGTCTGAGTGTGTTTAAAGAGTTCAACGTAATCATAAATATAGAAACATTCCTCACATCACAGGTTTGTTTCTCACTAATGCTTTTGACCTCTAAGCTCTAAAACCTCAAGAAGTTTTAATATTTATAAATCACAGGACCTATAAATATTAAGCATTTCCATAGGTCCTGTGATTTTAAAATAAAATTAGAAGGTGGGTACAGTGTATGTCTAATGAAGTTTATTTTATGTGGTTAAAGTTTATGTGCAGTTTCTCAGTTTTCGGGGACACATTTTACAAAACATTATTGTGGAAAGAAGAGGTGAAATGTGCAGTATTGTTTAAAACAAAATGTAGTTTCACACTMAAACTGTTTTAATATACTGTACTGTTATGAAAAGTCCTTTGAGATGGAGCCTCATTACTTCTTGCACCAGTTTCTTTTACCTCAAATCATTCAGTGCAAAATATCAAAGGGATTTCATGCCTTGGACCCACTCAGATTGCAGATTTTAAATATGTATTACAGATTTCTGACAGATGCATGCGTGTATATGTTTTTCTATTTTTTTCTTTGCATTTTTAAATATTTGTCTCTACAGTAATGTGCTGTAAAAACTAAAATTACATTGTAATTGTTAAAAAACTTATTGGGAGGTTGAATCATGATGCTGATCTTGGTGGTCGTTTTGTCTTACATTTGGTTTTAAAGTCAACCTTCTTGTGGTAACAAGGCAGGAAATGACCTTTAATGATATAACTTTCTGCTGGTTATTCTATAACGTGCAAACAAACACACACACACAGCTGCTTTCTTTATTTTCCCTACAGTAAGAAATGAGAAATCAGTGATAAAGTGTTATATGTATGAATCGTTACAAAAAACCCTCTCTAATTTTATTATTTTGTCTCCTCTTGGCTTTCTCACCCATTTTGTAATTTTATTTGTCTTTTTTTGTATCTCTTTCATCCACCACTCCTCCTCCTGCTGCTCTGTCTTTAGTCAAACCACAAGAAGTCCTCATGTATTTTACCGCCATGACCTGATCAACCAGCTGCAGCATAACCACGCCCTGGTCACCCTGGTGGCGGAGAATCTCTCAGCCTACATGGAGACCATGAGGCAGTTATCCAAAGGTAGTCTGAATTTTATTTATGCAGAGAATTAGGCCATGTTCACACTGCAGGCAAATGCGACCCAAATCTGATTAATTAATTAATTTTTTAATGACAGTCTGAACATGATAAATCTGATTTTATTAAATTAATTTTTTTCAAATCCAACCCAGGCCTTTACAGTGTGCTCTACTGAATCAGATACGTAGATAATGTTTTTCAAAGCGACTGCAGCTCGTCTGAGGGTGAGCGGATCGACAAAGACACTTGAGTCGTGCCGTTTAAATATTGTAGCTCCACACGTCTTCAGCTACAGAACAATTACAGTTTGTTCATCTTTTTCTTTTAATTTTCCATGTTCTGGATGACTGAGAATCTGCAGAAACATGTGATAGTAGCCCCGTTTACAAGACATATCCGCGATCGGCTAAATGCCGGTCCGTTCCTTCATAAAACAAAGAATAAGCCGGCCACATCCCGCCCTCAATGGAGCGTTCACAAATCGTTTTACATAGTGGGAAGTTCGGAGGCGTGAGAAAAAAAAGGCTGCGATTACGTATTGCTTACGTATTTCACGTGGGACCGCTGACGTGAGTGTAAACAGTAGTGCCCGTTCACACCGAACGCATCTGAAGACGCGCAATGGGAGGAGCGTCTTTGTTCTTTTTCCGGTCTGTTGACGTTTGAAATAAAGATAAAATAAATAAAACAGATTTGCTTTATTTACTTAAAGAGTAAGCAAACGTTGTGCACAGAGCAGATAATTAATTCACCAGATAATTTAGAGGCGTTCTGTCTGGCTATTTTTTTTTCCAGACCGGGACCAGACTGTCTGACGGGTGAAATAAAGATAAAATAAATAAAATGGTAAAAATGGCTTTGCTTTATTTACTAAAGAGCTAGCAAACGTTGCGCACAGCAGATAATTAATTCACCAGATAATTTAGAGAAGGTTTCGCCACTCCAGCAGCTGCAAGCTGAGGGACCAACCCCGCCCGAGCGCGCACACGGAAAAAGTCAGGTGCGGTTCGGCTTTGTTTACAACTTTAAACACAGCAGTACAGTGGGCACGGGGAGAGCACGTCATCATTCCCCCCATTATTCAAATCAGCTGGAGCTGCAAACACATTCCACCTCTGAGGTGCGCCTGTTACTATCAAGCTTCGCGGCTCAGGGGCAGGAAGATCTGTTTCACCTTTCCGCAAACGTGTTTTTTTTYCYGAATGCTCTAAGGAGGACAGATCGCGCATTAGGCCCGGAACGACATGTTTTGTGAATGAGGCTAGTAACGTCAGCCACAGACTGTATCGATCCCTAAAGTTACTCGCTCGATGCTTTACTTCCAGCGTCTCGCTTCCTTCCAGAAATAAAACGCTGCACCGGATCATCCCGTCAGAGGCAGGTTCAGATATAAGCATTGAACTAAACAAGCATTTTTACAAAATCATTTAATCAGCTCTGATTGAACATAATTTCAGAATCGGCATGCTACAAGTAGAATCCATGCTAACTTTTAAGGGCTCGACACACGGGCAGCGACAAACTACAGCGATTARCGGCTGTCATCGCAGCCAGGGTGAAACCCGACACACGGGATGCGATAGCGATCGCAGCGTTGCGAATCGCGATCTCAGGTCGCTTGTCTTCACAAAATTTGATTGGTTCTTGACTCTGAGGGCGGGTGTGCATTACGGACGTGTAAACTAAACAAATCTTGCGATTCTAATGATAGTGAAAAACAAACACACATCAAGATACAGTTTTATGAGGAAAAACTTACCATAAACTTCACCCTGGTGCCAATAAATTCCCACAAAGCTTTT